TATCTCACTTTACATGTTTCTATTTAGTTTATAAATATATTTGGTGAATTCTTTGTGTGTATTTATGAATTTGAATGCTTCTTTAGAATAAAGGTTTTTCATTTCCTGATAATAGCATTAATAGCGATAAATTCTTTTAACATTTGTAATTTGATTGGTTAATTATCACGGGTAATCACGGGTAGATCCGCCAATCAGAGGATTTCCTCCTATGAGATTTGGCCCAAACTATTTTGGGTAGCAGCCGAAACTAGTGCTATACTAATTTAATACATGGTTTGGGACGTCCCAAATAGTTTGGGCTACTTCTATATCCGGATTAGCCCGGTCGGAAATGATTTTCAAGACCCATATGTTTATGTGTAACATAAGATATTGTATACGTAGTACACATACCCCACCCTAAAAAAAAATTACGTATAAAATGTCACTGCCCTAGGTTGATCTCTAATTATAAAACATCTATCGTTCAAGCAGGAAAATCAAGTCACTATGGTGATTTTATCAACATCAAATAAAATAATTTTGTTTGCCGCTGTTGTACTTGCTTTATTCACAACAGGATATTACATGCGAAAGGACCTTTTTATGATGGTCCCTTTTCCAACGGACGAGGATAAGTCACATAAAGAAGGTATTAGAATTTACAATTAAATTTTTTGATTTTTGATTTAGATCAATATGGGCGACTAACAAGCATTATTATCACACACAACTACAGTAAGTTTCCTAGTATTGTGATCCTGATGCTATAATAATGACATCCAAATCTTGATACGATATTCAACCTCCGAAATTTCAAAATTCCGACAGTTCAAAATTTTGACAGTTCAAAATCTCAACATTATATTTGCATTTTGAACCATTTGAATTCTGAGATTTTTGGATTTTGATATCCTGGATTATAGCGTCTAGATCTAGGTCATGAATCCACAGCACGGGTGTAAAAACATATCTTAGTTTTTGAAATTTATTAAATTTCATCTAATTTTTTACGAAATTTCAAAGACTATGAAAATTCTTGTTTCCGGTGGTGCTGGTTATATCGGCTCTCATCTTGTTCGAGAACTTTCGACTCAGCAGGATTACGAAATTATTGTCCTAGACAATCTTTCTAAAGGTCATATAAAATCAATTCCTAATGGAATTAAATTCGAAAAGGCTGATGTTCGTGATAAGAAAGCTCTTGAGAGAATATTTTCTGAATACAAACCAGATGTCGTAATGCACTTTTGTGCTTCAATTTCTGTCGAAGAAAGTGTAGCTGATCCTTTAGAATATTACGAGAATAATGTAGTGGGAACTATTTATCTGCTTCAAGCAATGAAAAAACATAATGTCAAATATTTCATTTTTTCATCTAGTGCCGCAATTTTTGGTAATGCAAAAAAGGTGCCTATTACAGATAATATGAGGCCAGATCCAATTAACCCTTACGCTGACACTAAAGCTGTCGTTGAAAAATTACTTGCTTGGTCTGAGAATGCTTATGGATTGAAATATATTTGTCTTAGATACTTTAACGCCTGTGGTGCTCACGAAAGTGGCGAGATTGGTGAAGATCATGATCCAGAAACTCACTTAATACCACTTATTCTTCAGGTGGCTCTTGGCCAAAGAGATAGTATCAGTATTTTTGGTGATGATTATGAGACTAAAGATGGAACTTGTGTGCGAGATTACATACATGTCACCGATCTTGCTACTGCACATATCAAGGCTTTAGAATATCTCATAAGAGAGAATAAATCACAATCATTTAATTTGGGATCCGGAGAAGGATATACGGTAAAAGAAATAATCAATGCTGCTAGAAATGTTACCAGTCATCCAATTCAAGCTGTAGTGGAAGCCCGCAGAATTGGTGATCCTGCAGTACTGATCGCCGAATCTACGCGTGCTGAGCAAATCCTTGGCTGGAAAAGAAAATATAATACAATTGAGGATATTGTTGCTAGCGCGTGGAAATATCATAAATCTCATATAAATGGATATAATGACCATTAAACTGTTTTTAACATAAAATCAAAATTTTTTGCTAGCATTTGTAAATATGGTTCAATCAATTCTTTCTAAAGAGGGTCTGGATAAATCGAACACTTAATAAATCCTTTCTAATCCTTTCTAATACGAAGTTTAAGACTTTAAATTTCAGTATATTGTTCGATTCAGACACTACGTACATTTTTAAACCGAACCTTTCTTACATTTTCTTATTAATTCTCCAGCGTTCAGTGTAAAGGTATTACATACAAAGAAAATTAATAATTGTGATACACTAGGTTCTGAACACGGATATGGTTTTGCAATTTACGATAATTTCATTAAAATGCAAATAATTAAAAACGATTTTAATTAATATTAGAGTTAAAATTAAAGGTTAGAGTTAAAAATATATGTATATCTATGTAATAAAATTTTGAGAAGAATTTTTCTTGAAGTTAAAAGGATGGGTTTACATTAAATCTAAGATTATTAATTTATGTGGGCGGATTTGCGAAATTGAACTTTTTTAGACTATGTTGTATCTTTAATTAATTATTAATAAAATTATGGGGAATTTACAAATAAGGGCCTGGAAAGTGAAAATAATTACAAACACGGGCCCAAATTAAAAATAATTACATATAAGGGCCTAATTTTTAAAAAATATTACATATAAGGACCCAAATTAACTGCGATGTTATTCAAGCTTGTGGCTTGATCGTTATTAGCATAAGAAATGTAAGCAGCGATAAATGTAGTTATTAAGCGTATAAAAAATGTAACTATCGATTGTAAATTAGTATTTTTAAATTTAATAAATTTCAATTTCTTCGTATATAATTACTTATTGTTATAACAAATCACTATGATGTCAAGTAAAGCACTGCAAGTTGGCATGATATTTACTAATATGGAAGATGTTCGTTCAGCTCTAAAGAGCTACTCTGTTGAAACTTCTTCGCCTTATAAAT